ACATATGTTTCATATGTTTGTTGTTGTTTGATTTATCATCTACGGGTTTATGTCGAATTAATTTGATGGCCTGCTCCCAGTTGGCTTGTTAGCTCAATTGGTAGAGCGCTGCACTAGTATCGCAGAGGTCAGTGGTTCGAATCCCGTACAGGCCTGAAATTTTTTTCAGGTCTGATTTTCACTATTGCTCAAATAGTGCTTTACTGCGAAGGATCGTGCACATATACGTTTCATAACCGCAGTTCATACATATGTTTCATATGTTTGTTGTTGTTTGATTTATCATCTACGGGTTTATGTCGAATTAATTTGATGGCCTGCTCCCAGTTGGCTTGTTAGCTCAATTGGTAGAGCGCTGCACTAGTATCGCAGAGGTCAGTGGTTCGAATCCCGTACAGGCCTGAAATTTTTTTCAGGTCTGATTTTCACTATTGCTCAAATAGTGCTTTACTGCGAAGGATCGTGCACATATACGTTTCATAACCGCAGTTCATACATATGTTTCATATGTTTGTTGTTGTTTGATTTATCATCTACGGGTTTATGTCGAATTAATTTGATGGCCTGCTCCCAGTTGGCTTGTTAGCTCAATTGGTAGAGCGCTGCACTAGTATCGCAGAGGTCAGTGGTTCGAATCCCGTACAGGCCTGAAATTTTTTTCAGGTCTGATTTTCACTATTGCTCAAATAGTGCTTTACTGCGAAGGATCGTGCACATATACGTTTCATAACCGCAGTTCATACATATGTTTCATATGTTTGTTGTTGTTTGATTTATCATCTACGGGTTTATGTCGAATTAATTTGATGGCCTGCTCCCAGTTGGCTTGTTAGCTCAATTGGTAGAGCGCTGCACTAGTATCGCAGAGGTCAGTGGTTCGAATCCCGTACAGGCCTGAAATTTTTTTCAGGTCTGATTTTCACTATTGCTCAAATAGTGCTTTACTGCGAAGGATCGTGCTCATATACGTTTCATAACCGCAGTTCATACATATGTTTCATATGTTTGTTGTTGTTTGATTTATCATCTACGGGTTTATGTCGAATTAATTTGATGGCCTGCTCCCAGTTGGCTTGTTAGCTCAATTGGTAGAGCGCTGCACTAGTATCGCAGAGGTCAGTGGTTCGAATCCCGTACAGGCCTGAAATTTTTTTCAGGTCTGATTTTCACTATTGCTCAAATAGTGCTTTACTGCGAAGGATCGTGCACATATACGTTTCATAACCGCAGTTCATACATATGTTTCATATGTTTGTTGTTGTTTGATTTATCATCTACGGGTTTATGTCGAATTAATTTGATGGCCTGCTCCCAGTTGGCTTGTTAGCTCAATTGGTAGAGCGCTGCACTAGTATCGCAGAGGTCAGTGGTTCGAATCCCGTACAGGCCTGAAATTTTTTTCAGGTCTGATTTTCACTATTGCTCAAATAGTGCTTTACTGCGAAGGATCGTGCACATATACGTTTCATAACCGCAGTTCATACATATGTTTCATATGTTTGTTGTTGTTTGATTTATCATCTACGGGTTTATGTCGAATTAATTTGATGGCCTGCTCCCAGTTGGCTTGTTAGCTCAATTGGTAGAGCGCTGCACTAGTATCGCAGAGGTCAGTGGTTCGAATCCCGTACAGGCCTGAAATTTTTTTCAGGTCTGATTTTCACTATTGCTCAAATAGTGCTTTACTGCGAAGGATCGTGCTCATATACGTTTCATAACCGCAGTTCATACATATGTTTCATATGTTTGTTGTTGTTTGATTTATCATCTACGGGTTTATGTCGAATTAATTTGATAACCTGCTCCCAGTTGGCTTGTTAGCTCAATTGGTAGAGCGCTGCACTAGTATCGCAGAGGTCAGTGGTTCGAATCCCGTACAGGCCTGATTTTTTACACCTTGCCGCAAACTTTGTAATTTTTTATTTCTCCTTGGAAATGGCGTCATGATTACACCGAAACGTCGGTTTTTATCGTTGGTTTTGCCAGTCTTTGCAATTCCAAATCTTTATTGATAAAAAAAGAATCGTACCCCCAACAATTGACTGACGTGTAAATATATTCCTGACCCCTAGGCTTATGCGAAATGGTAATAAATTTCTCACCACAACCTTTGAAATATTAGAAGACAACAAATTTTTCGGCTAGATCTCACAGTATGCATAAGCAAAGCAAGCTCCGCTATCGACATGCGCTGTCACACATCAACATTTTTGTATTTGCGATCATCGACTTTTGTCTTCGCTATCAAGGTACAATTAGTCTACAGTGTTTGGGATCTTGGTTTCACGGCAACAAGTCTACAGTCAAAGGAATTTTCAGTGAAGTCAAACGGTGGGTTTCCAAACTTCTGCAACAGTTGCTCGACTCTCTCTTGGGTCACAAGTCGTAGATCGAAAACTCCATGTGAGGTGCCAACAAGCCACTGTAGAAGACTTTCCACGCTGGGAAAGAGATCCTTCGTATATTTGGGATAGTAGCTCTTCACAACATCAAAACCTGCCCTCGCACATAAAAGATCCACGTCATCTCTTTTAGCCAGATGAAACATATTGCTTAATTTCTCATACTTTTCCGGGTTCAACACCTCATACGAGGTAGCCATGAAGGGGGGTATTATATCTGAATATTGTATGGAAATTTTCCCACCAACTTTCAAACTGTCGAACATGTTTCTGAACGCTTTGCTTTTGTCAGGTACCCAGTGGATTACGAGATTAGAGAATATAATGTCGAACTTCTCAGAGCCCATGCCTTCGAACTGATTTGAGTTGCCTTCTATAAAAGAGAGGTTCTCTACATGACGATGAGTTTCCTTAGCCAGTTGCAGTCGGCTGAAGTCAGGATCGACGCCAATGACATATCCTTTGAGTCCGACCAGTTCAGCAAGGTAGGCAGACAACTCGCCAGTACCGCAGCCTAAATCCAAGATGGCATCTTCAAGTTGAGGAAGTACATCGGTGTGGATGAAGTCTTTTCCTTCTTCCAGTTTTACGGTAGCCGAGCTTTGCTGATAAGACTCTGCAGCCATGATTACAGAATCTCGATATATAAATTTGTGTTACGGCTACGACTTAAGTGCAAAATATTATAAATCCCAACTGAACAGAAATTTGCCTCGGTTTCAAGATGCACGACGTGATCATGAGCGATACGAAAGGTTAAGTTGTTGTTTCCATAGAGATTCAGTGAGTTTTGTCCGCCAAAGGGAGTTAGTAAGTTTTTATCCATAGCACACGACACATTGAGTTAGGAGGTATAACAATTATGACACATCATAGCCAAAACGTTGAATTTTTCCATAGCTTATTTTCATTGGTTTAATCATAGCTATGGTTTAATTCACCAAAGTCCTTTGTTTATCGAGATTCTGTAATCATGGTTGAAGAGTCTTATCAGCAAAGCTCGGCTCCGCACAGACCTCTTAAAAGGTGTTTGACGAGAGTTTTTGCCTGTAAGATTCATTTGCATGGCTCACATACTATTAGTGGCCATTACCGACGAAAATCGAGCGGTAAAAGTCGCCCAAATTATTTGATCACTTGTATTAATTCACCCCTTGGATCCCATAACCCAAGAGCCCTCGGATGTTACTCGAATACGTTGCAAACGCACATGCAAAAAACACGCACTCAAAACTTAGAACGATTAGAAGAACGTTACTTTTGACCTAAGCGAAACGTTTGGCGTAAAACACAACACTCGACTGCTGTGAGTTTCTATGCAAGCATGCTTAACAAAACCTGTCCTTGTACGAGAAACCTCCAGCAACGGTGTTTTCGTTTTGTTGTTTTTACTCATGGATAAGCAAAGCATAGAAGCTAGTTATGTGGGATTTGATGTGCACAATTCGTGGCGTGGTTAGCACGGCCTAAGGAGTGGGGGGGGAGGTATGGATCTTATCAAAGATGGCGGACCGGTTGTTTAAAATACGAGGGATCACTTGAAGGGTCTCGACGAGGCTAATGTGTGGATGATGGCGTTATTCTATTAAATGTAACCACAGGACCATTGGCTTTTAATTGGTCGTTTTATAGTAAATTTCCTGATGGGAAACCTACCGTTTGGCTTCCATGTCAATTCCTTTGACGATAGCTTTTTTTTCCGTGAAGCCATAATCCCAGACACTGTAGACTGTAGGCGGAGCGATGCAAACCTAAGTTGAATAAGAGAATTGTTCCCTTGTCGTTGTCGTTTTGTTTATTTCGTTTTTTGTTTTTGTCTATTGTTAATGCTTTGTTTTGTCTGGTTTTGCCTTTGTTTGTTCGTTTGTTTGTTTACTTGTTTGCTTTTTAGGGCTGGTATTGACAAAAGAAAGGTCTGAGTAAAAGTACAAGTCGAAGTCTCACAAGTAATCATTGACTATTTCTCGAAACAAACAGATCTCAGCTACATAATTGAACTTAAGCTGGGAGTTCGGATTGGTTCTGAAAACAGGTCCCTGGAGTAAACAATACTCGCTGTTTTCCAGTTGGGCCAATCATTAAGTGTTTCGTTGTACCTGCGAACTAAAAATTTGAACAAATTATATAATAATACTAATAATAATAATAATAATAATGATTATAATTTTTTTATAATATTAACTTTATTTCAAACCTTAAAACATTACAATAACTTCGTACATGTCCAAATTAGTTGACACGGAATACGTAATATATCTATTAAATTCGGTTCTCTAGGATCAGACTCGTATCAGACCCAAACTAAGGGCCTGATTACATGAGCCGGGCTGCTTTGGTGTGCCGAGATGACGTTCAGCCCGGTATAACATGGGGCGAGCCAGCGCGGTTGATGCCTGGGGGGATGAACTGAGGGAGACCGGAGCGAGCTTTGATTTTAGATCCTCCCCAGTATCTTTACCATTACATCATAGAACTCCATTACAAACTTTCTAGAACCACTTTTTGCCGCAATTCTTTTGTCTTTTCCATCACCCTGGAATAACCTTTCGTGATCTTTTTCCACCAACTCTTTCCTCTGAGACTCCTCAACATCTTCGGGAATGGCAGAAGATTCTTCTGGCCCAAACAAGTCAACATCGCCAGAATAAGAATACTTTCTCGCTATCGCCTTTCTCACTGCTTCATATTGCTTGTTTTTATCAGCATTGAAGTCCACGTTGCGATACTCCATATTAGCTTTGAATTCACCGAGCGCGCGAAGAAGGTCGTC